TCTTTTCGGTCGAGGGTGCAGCGAAATTAAATGATTATAATTCCGTTAAACTGGAACGTTAACGGCGCACCAGCGAAAAAATTGAGAATGTTAACGCGGATAATTCCCAGCCTCGTCCCCGCGCGGATAATTCTTTTCTTGTTTGCCGCGCACGCTCGTTAGCAGGCTGCGAGCAATCGAGCGTTTATGGCAATCACCGGAGCATGCTTACATGTTGTTTTCAATCGGCGGAAAGGCGTATTAAATTAATACACGATTTAATAATAACTCGCGCAACTTTAAAAGCAATTTGAATACATCGTTGTTCTCTAGAATTTATAGAGCGAGGGTGTCTAATGTCAGTCCCCATTTCTTTTACATCATAACTTTCGATCAAAAACACTTTTATCAAACGTAGATACGCGTTTAAAAATTAAAGTGTGTATTCTTTTACAATTCTCTGTAGTTGTTTTTTAAACAACAATTTCTAAAGGGTTGAAATTTTTGTGATCGAAATCATGAATTCGACAGAAACCGGAAACATAAATGAAGACCTAATGGAACGGAAATAAAAATCGAATCGCAGTTGGTCTAAAATGCGCAATCTGCAAATCAAATTTTTTGGGGCGTGATCGGGGACATTTGAGCCGGCGGGTGACGTTCGGTTTTCAATTATCCGCGACCCAGAAGCTGCCGGGAAGGATAAAAAGCGTTTTAATATCGGCGTCGGCGCGCTTCCTGTCCGAGGTTTCTTGCGCGGCTATTACGCAGCAGATAAGACGTCCACCGTTGATCGGGATAGACGATCGTTCCCCACCTTCGTTCGGCTGGATCGCTGTAATCAACGCGGCGACACGTACACGCGACAAAGGCAATTAAAATGTCCGAAGGCGGCATCAGTGTGCGTGGGCACGCACGGCGAGTCGTCGTGCGCCCGCGATCGCTCGCTCGTGCGTAAGATCCTCGTCAATGAACATCGGCGATCGTGTCAATGAACGGAAATCCATAGAGATCGCGTGACTTTTCAGCAGGGTAGGGTCTACTACGGCACTGATCTACGGCCGTGATTTATGGCGCAGTAGACTCGGAACTCTTCGATCAGTTCATAAAAACGGGATAGCGTCGAAGACCGTTTGAACTTTCCTTTCTGAACAGTCTACTCTATAAGAAGTCTACTCAAAGAGTCACAGCGTGCACATACATTTTCATATATGTATTTGTGCAATTGTACATATTCGATTTATTAATTTTTCGAAGCATGTTTTGCTCCGGGGAGGATGATATTAAGATGGTAAAACGATATACGGCCACTGCAGATGCGACGAGGCTTGGTTGATTGATAAGAAGAAACGTGAAATTATAGGAGGATACGTTAGGTTTACACCATCAAGACCGATGACGCTACCCTGGCGTCATAAGCTACGAAGCGCTGTAATTTCTGATAGAAAACAGATATCGAGACGCGACTTGCGCCGAAAGATATTAAAAATGTCGAATTTTCTATCTTTTTGTACACTTTCGAGAGTTTTGCGCCAAGCTTCGAGGAAATATTCGGTTTCCGACCGAAGCTGCGAGGACGAAGATAGATACTTCGATAAAGAATTCGAAAGAATCGGCTGCGGAGGAAAACTGATCCGTGAGCACCGAGCGCATCGAGTCATGAATGAGCACAGGTTACGCGTTATCGATCCGATTGGCCGAGCAGGTTGCCGATGCGTTTGAATAAAGTTAAGGCGAGTGGTCGCTTAGCGTGGATTTACCGCCTCATGCGATTACGTATGCGCGCGGACGTTGAATGTTACGAGCGATATGACTCGTGACTGTCGTAAGACTGTCATAAGACCTTATGCATGGCTTCTCTACATGCTCGCACGCTCCTTCGCCCTCCTGCATTTTATTCCCGCTCGAATGGATCGCATCGATCACCACGCTGTCCACTCCTCGTTTCTTTTATGTTGGTACATCAACTTTTTCCCAATTTTTTTTTTCCTTCACGTATATAGACACACATTCCCTTCTTGCTGACCTTTTTTCCTCAACATAAACTGCCTTCTTGTTACCAACCTTTTTTCTCTCCGCGTTAACGACCGGTGTCACGCATGACTTCGTTATGTTGTCTGTTACAGCATCGTCAAGTGCAACTTGATTTTCCCCCCCCGACGTTCGCCGATTCTCTTTTATTCTCAGTGTCATTCTGTTTGCACTGATAGTTTGGCACTTCGGCAGCTTCCACTTGTTTATAAATACTGTTGATACTCTTATTTTATTAATTCGTTTCTGATACATCCTTTCGGAAGAACGATTTGTTCTCGCGCGTCTATACGCGAACGATATATACGTACACAGCAAATAAAAGGAAATAATAGTAAACGGACCAAAGCGATGAAATACATGGGAAAAAACGTATATATCACTAAAAATTGAAACTAAAGCAATAAAATAGAAATCGACGATTCGCGTATATCTCCACGCGATTCTCTGAACCGTAAAAATTGACGCTAACATTTCTGTCAACGGTTCCATCGCAGCTAAATCAATTCTACGGTCAACAAAATATTTATGTAAAAATTGGAGAACGACTATTTCGGTATTTTTAGAGGAAAAGTGAAAGGTGTCTTTTTATACAATCGTGCTATCGAAGAAGCTGGGTTCCACGATCGATTCAATCGATCCACGGCGACGCTTCGTTTCGATATCTCGCGTGTCGACGTGTTTATTCGCAAACAGTTGCTGCGTGATACGATTAAGCGGGGGTGTGGATGTAACCAGCGTCGCAACACGTACGGCTTCTTTTGTTTCTCGTTCGTTACGTAGTTTCATCTCTACTCTCGAAACACTATAACCACCCACGATCAACGTACAGGTTTTCATTTCTCGCGATATTCGGAACATCGGAAACTGTATAACCAAAACTGACTCGCCTACAATTTTTTTCAAATATATTTCGTCGGAGAAAGTAAAGTTGCCGGGCTGAAGCGAGATACGGACACTGCACGTGTGATGAGACTAAAAAGTTTGACACGAAAAAGTGTGAAGTTCTAAGGGGACAATCGTGGTTTATGCCATCACGGCCAATGACGCCACCCTGACGTCAAAATCTGCCAAGGCCGGTATCGATTCGCGGTTCGTTGAAAAAAATCATACAAAAATCAAACTTTCTAATGATGTAAGCACGGTTCTACTAACTCTTGAACTTGTTGTACAAATTTTGCTGTATCGATCGCAGACGATATTAGCTTTTCTTATTAGTTATCGATAAAACTGTCTGCCGGTGTATCAGGGTCTTCCATTATTCTGCAACAGGACCTCATCGTTATTCGCGAGGAACGATAGGAGATTTTCTAGTAAATCTCGGGCATGTTCTTCGTCGATCGACAATTCATTTGGCGGTTGCGTCGTAACGTGCCGCCTGAATAATGCCGGGCCACTGTTCGGTTTGTTCAGGGCTTATAATTAAATAAACTCCCTTGAGTATACAATGCATATTCAGTAGTAAATCGGGTACGTCAACAAGAACGCGTGATCAAACTCCGTCCGTGATAGTTAGAACACAATCGTTTGGGACGAGTCAGACACTTTATTGTTAAGATTTTGTGTCCCTTGATGCCAGAGATTAAAACTGCAATCCTTTTTGATCTCGTTATTTATAACCTCGATGCCTTGTACTATTACACAGAATTATGATCTTCGTGGTGATTTTTGAACTGTTTTTCGAACTGTCTTGTAAAATATTAATCTTAAATTAGTTTCGAATTTAACACAGAGAGAGATTAAGATTCGCTTGTAAAAAATAATTACAATTAAGAATATCACTGTATACGATTTTCCTTTTTAAATCGATAAAAACTTCTGAAGGAAACATTTATTTACGATGTAAAACACACGTATGTATCTTCTTTTCGATGAGTGAATTTCGTAATTTAAAGTAACGAAGAGGTATCATTTAGCACAGAAACATTTTAATCGAACGGAGCTATTACTATATTTTAATCAACCTTATAAATGAACACCGCAGAGATGATCCAAGTCGTAAGTTGTAATGCTCGCTTGTACCAAGTTGTAATACTCACCTTTTTTTGACGTTGTTCATCACCTTTTTTCGATGCTGCAACACTCGTCTTTTTTCCCATTGTTGGTAAAATATATATTTATAGACGACGGACGGCGCACTGCGGTCCCGCCTTGTAAATTCTGTTTATACGATCCATTATGCATGAACTCGAGATTTCATTACGCGCGCAGCGATGACCGGTTCAAGTATGAAATTTACCAGGGAAAAAGCATCGGGAGAGTGAACTGGTTTCGCATGGATGACGCTTAATTAAGCGACTAATTTCAACTTTCAATTTGGCTCAGTGATAAAACAATCCAATATTTATCCGCAATTTTTTACGCTTACGCCGAGAGTTACACGTCCAATAAACTCAAACACAATCTCAATTAATTTCTCTGAATTATTCAACAATTCTTCCACGTGATCACTCTTGCTTCTTTACCGATAGTTATAAATTTACACAGTGAATGAATAAAAAAATTTATTCAACAATCTCCAACGGAGGCGACTTTATGGTCTGAATAATTATAAAATGAAAAATATGAAACGTTTAGCGTTAAATGAAATTTGATCGTACACTGTGCAACGACTGTATACCTAAAGAACCAAAAATTGTGTAATGCACAATTCTCTCGATCAAAACGTGATATTTTGTAAATTTCAAAGTTCGATGACGTTCTTTTAAGCGCTAATTAATTTTTGGGTCCTGTAATTGGAATTTTCGATAGTAGATGGTGGGGTTGCGCAATTTAGCGTCGCCATTGTTCGAAAACGGAGCATTTTGGAAACTTGTCCTATTAACAGTGGTTCGCGCGATTGTACAATATTAACCCTTGTATACCGTTCGTGTAATTGCCGCACACACAAATGAGAAAACGGTTGATCGTGTTCTAATTTTCGCAGTAGACCTGAACGCCCGCCGTTAACGTTGCCAGCGCTGATTGGACTAACACAATTTATGTTTCAGAGCTGGAGCTCGGTACACAATGCGTCGTCGAAATGTCCGGACAGCAAACCATCTTGCAGCATCCGACCACGATGGACAAAATCGAACGGTGAGCGATGTTCTACTTTGATTTGCACGCCGTCGAAATCCACAGGGTGTCGAGTCGGCAATTCGTCATGATAGCTCACGATTTTTCATGCCCAGAAAAATTGGGGCGAGGACGTACCGCGTTGTCCTACAATTAATGCCCGTTCTTCTCTTACTTCCACAGAATCCCAAGTTTTTAATTCACAATTACCGAAATCGCCTAAAAATGGGTCTCGGAAGTTCTACAAGCAATCAGAAACTTTTAATTGAAGATAATGAGAAGGATTTAGGAGAAGATAACAAAGAAACTAAACGGCTTATCTGATTCTAAACATTTCGAAACATTTGGAAGACCAGTTCTTTTACTATACAAGTGCATAGTGTCAATGAGTTTCTTCTACGTTTACTTGCTTTACTCAATTTTTTTAACACGTGCATTTTGTCTCATTCATCAAATGGTTGCGTTGAATAAAAATGCAATCAATTAAAATTAATTGTAAATTAGTCAGACTTTAATCGCGTGTGATTAGATATGCATAATATAGTTGAAAAACAAGTATAATTCGATTCTAGAAAGATCCACAATTTTTGAGATAACGGTTAATGTCCCATTCATTAAAATAGAATTGCAAAGCGATCTGAACGTTATCGCGATGGAAGATCATTCTTTAATAATATCTCTTGTTAAACTGTATTTTATTTACCAGTTAGTAATTTGCTATCTATAATTAGCCGATAATAGTAGCACGACCAATGTATGTCCTATGCACCCTATCATAAAAATTTGACGACATGCTTTCAAGCAAAATGGACGAATCCTTAGACCACCATTCTCTGTTATGAAAAATAAATTTGTACCCGGGTATACCAGGGATTGTACTTTCGAAAGCTCGAAGCACAGAGACATCATGCTCAGAAGGAGAACCGCATATTAGATATTTTATATTTGAGATATGAACGGCTGCCGACATTCCCGTTAACGTTTCGTCCACTTTGAAAATTTTACGATCCCAAGTATCACGTGCTCCAGAAAAATGAAAATCCTCGCGAAAGTCGTGAAGAGCAGCGTATCAACGTTTTATCTTTCAATTAGCCACGTTTATCAAGCTGCGTGTACGCTATTATATCGACAGTGTGAATGTGGAAATGGAGATTCATTGCTCATCGGACAACCGTGACCAAATATCTGCGTTTTAATTTCACATTCGGACTAATTAACGTCGTCGCTCAATGTCGCACTGTTTCCGACATAGTTGTTCTGTGCGAGCAAATGGCTTCGTCTCGCTATTCTCTGCAAAAATATTCTTCAATATGGCCTTTGCCGTTCAATTAGTCGATTTTAAGTATCCGTCTACGAATGAGAAAATTACAAATATTAATCAAATTATGAACGAGTTTATTTGTCAACAACTTACACCTTTCGAAGCTGAAAACATACTTATATATTTATCTTCAACGAAAAGGAAAAAAGTACGCTCTTAATCAATTAACCGCAGCAGTCATGTTAACGAATATTGTCTGAAACAATCTCATGTTTTCCAACATTTCCCACAAACACATTTTTGACATGTATTTTCTATTTCTAATACAGAGATAAACAAATACGACTTTTGTTAATTTTTTGTGTGTTATAGGAAAAAAAAATCGTGTAGTTGGTTGAGGAAAAGCGAAAACATTAAACATGAAAATTTTGCTCGAAGTTTAAAAAGCGGTCATTTAACCGCTCTGATAGATTTAGTGTTAAGGTCCCCTAATTAATTTCAGCGTGTTAACATGCTCCTATCGGTAGGACATACTTGTAAGTTCAAAGATGAAACCCGCAGCGCTGTAATTATTAATTTACAGCCGGAATCGACGGGTCGACGTGGACGAGCTCGCCGCGTATCGCCTTGTACGCCAGATAATTAAAGCGCACGGCTTTATCGCAAAGGCTGATAACGATTGCGTCGATGTTCGAGCAATTCATGGAACGCGGCGGAAAATTTGCGAAACACCACCGATACTCTCTCGCCTCTTCTCCCCGGCGCCGCCATATTGGATCGCTCCGAACGAACCCGAGGACGCTGGCTTTACTCGAAATTTCTTCGTTGATATCTGTTGCAACGTTCATTTCCCTAACGAAACTCGAGCGCAATTATGTCGTTGTTGCTGAAATTAAAAGTTTCGGATGCCTCACGCTGGGGAACCCCGGCGAAAATAGCTTTTGCTTTCGAACTACTTTATTTAATCAAAAAGTTTCGAGCGCGCCACGATTTCGGGGCGAATGAATTGTTCTTTTCGCGAATCAGCGTTGTCCATTCTGCATGCGATGTGACAGTGGTCTTGGTAAACTAATTTATCGTTTTGTGTTTGCACATGGATATGTTCTTCTATGTTCTTCTGGATATTAACGGTGACATTTTCTTCTTAAAATTACGCGAATATATCTTCTGAAGTAACATTAAAAATTATTGCATATATTTCCAATGTCTTGCAATTGATTCAGACAATTTTTATTTTGCATAAAGATCCGCAGTCTATTTACCATAAAACAACAGGGGGTTTGAAAATTAAAGGAGCAAGGAGGATCGCCAGAAATTCTGTCGATATCTCAAAAACGGGACATAATTTTGCGCAATTTAGAAGTTTTCACTCCGCAATGGTTTTCATAACTAAAACCGGTTTTCGTCAATTATGATGGTTATCTGTAACGAATTAACATTATCGTCATCGATAATTGCTATTGTAAAATTATTTCATAATAATTGTAAAATTATTTCCGTCATTTATAATGATTATTGATGACCAAAATTATTTTAAATGAAATTCACTGGTTATACTTCAATTTTTGCTCGTTCTGCTTATAACAGTTACGGTCTCTGATTATATGCCTTTATAGAATAAATCTGCTTTACCCTGATGCATGCTTGAATTGAAAGATCCATTTAATCATCATATTCAAAAGAACCGGGATGATAGGTTCAACGTTAAAAAGTCGAACCGGGGTAGTTAAATAATATTTTCGAAAGATTCTTTGCGAGCCCCTTCGGCGCGGGCTTTGTCGGGCTAACAATGATGGGTCAGGGAGGATTTTCGCGGGCGAACTGTGTGTTCCACGAGAAAGTTTTGAAAGAGCACGAGGCTCGAGGGGGTGAAACAGCTCAAGTGCAGCATCCCCCGCGTCACGGGTTTGACGTCGAAGATCGATACACTCATCGGGAGGACGTCGCGTCGTCTCGTAACGTTGCCTCGAGCGCGGCTGGGGCTCCCTGGAGACGACGCAGGAACGGTGTTTCAACGGCGGAACGTTTTGTCTCGCGCCTGTCGAACTTGGTTATTGCATAATTGAATGATTCTCGGGGAGACTATTCATGCGGGATGCGACGCGGACCGACGCTCGAATTATTCAGCCCAGCCGGGTCTCCCTATCGGATGACAATCGAATCCGCGGATCGCTGACGGTTCGACAGTCATCGGACGATGATATGCTCTGATTCGGTTATATCGGGAATCTCGTTTCGCCAATTGCATTTGCGATCTGCAGTTTTCATTCGCGGACGTAATCGTATGGAAGATACTTTTACGAGCCCCGCCTGGTTCTTTTGATCGGTTTAGGTTTCGCTAATTGTCTCTTTTTCCGACAGGTGTAGTAACAACTTGCACTACGACTTCTTTCGCAGCTGCGTGGATTGGGTCTTCTTGGTTCTTAAAAATTTACATATCGGTAGTGTATTACAGGTATACAATGATCGAACTGTGTATAAAGGAGGAGGACGATCATTTTCTTTTAGATAATAATGTCAAACAACTTGTTACGTTATATTAATCTAAGCAATTTCACGGATTATTGATGATATTATTGCAGTTTTTGAACAATTTTTTTTAGGAAAATCTTAACTGTTGATCTTCGATTTTAGATGAACTATTAGAAAGCTATTTTTGTTTCCTATATGTCTTCATTTCTTTTCATTCCTAGATTTTGTTAACAGAAGAATTAAATTTTGTATCGATTCGAAGAAATAATTAATAATTAATTCGTGTTTAGTAAATTATAGTGCAGAAGGTTAAATAATAGAATCGTCCGAAGAAGTTTATTATGATTGAGTGTAATTTCATTAGTCTTTGGGAATTTTTAATGGGCTGGCTAACGTTTTAGCAAAGAAGGTTACTATGATTGATAGGTTGCAAGCAGATATCCGACGTACAGTAAGACATCTATTAACAACAATTCATTAGTGTACAAAGATGTCTTACCTCTAACCAGTTGATCAGTTGCTAACATATTTAGGCTGCTAAAGAAGAATCCTAGCAAAAACAACAGCTTTTAATTTGGCTAATGAACCATCACGATGGACGAACAAGGACCATTTTTTGGCAAACCAGTTGATCCGTTGTAAAGAATATTTGATATGTTGGAAACGTGTCTGATTTTGCAAGCCTTAGCAGGTATAGATCTGAAAATGAATTGATACTTCAGATCCTATAGTCATCAAAAGTATGGATCAGTCAGTGTACCTCCCGGTCTAGGTCCCATAATCATAAAAAAATGCCGTATCAGGAGCAGAAATTCAATTCGCCGGTTCCATGCCAAGTCCGCCTCTAAATTCCTAGTTTCTTTATCGGGGAACCAGTCGCCCGAAGATTATAGGTGAAGGCGGCTTCTATTTCTGGTCCAGGTGAGTTTCCTGGCTGCGCTATATCGGACGGCATCCCGCCGAGCAAGACGCACAAAGCAGGTCCCGTCTCTAGTCGTTATTTCTCGGCACGTGATCCCACGAACGCCTCGCTACCTCCGAACTTCTCTATCTGTTTAAACTTTCGCGAAACTTAACAGGCTGCCCCGGTTTTTGTCCCAGTTCGCTGGGCCTGGGTAACTCCTCGCGACCGAAGTCGACGCCGGACACATGAATCTTGCAGCAGCCAGGGGAGATAGAAAGTCTTGGACAGGTATGCTAGCTCGGTGTACATTAGTGTTAACGTTTTCGTGTTAACGTTTTGCCGGGAAGCACCATTAATCTTCCATGGTCTGAATCCGGCCCGGTC